CCCGCTCCTCGGCTGGCACACCCAGGGAAAGTTGTCCCTGTCCTCCGCAGCCTGTCCCCAAAGCAGGCCTTGTCTTAGGGGTCAGTAATGCCCTGCAGCAGCTCCCGGGCGGCGTCTCCCTGCCAGTAGGCCTTACATCTTCCCTTAGCCCGTAAAAAAGGGCTCCGGGTGACAGCGCCCACGTCCCCGATGTGCGACAGCCCGGCTGAGGTGTGACAAAGGGAGTTTTCCCCACTCCGGGGTCCTGGGCAGGAGATAAAGGGAGAACTCTGCTCCCTCCCCTGCTTGTCGGGCCGCCTGCTTGTGTCACTAGCGTTGGGATAACGCTGCTCATTTAGAGCCGTGATTTTGTTCTGTAACATACCCTTTTAAAAAATTATATATTTTTTTCAGGTTGTATTTCTGTTATATATTTATATATATATAATAGAAACAAGAACAATATCCCAAGGAATGTTCCCGGATGGCTCCGGTGGAAGAGTAGGGCACGGTGGCTGCGGCAGGGCCCACAGAGAGCATGGCTGGCTCTTTTCAGGATGGACATTTCTCAAATCAGTATTTATATGTCCGGGCAAAACTTTGGAGGGGTTTGTCTCCGTTCAGCCCCTGAACATGGCCCTTCTGCCGCCAGCTCCAGCCGGTGGCTGCAGGCGTCCCTTCTCCTGCTCCCCCTGTCCCGCTCCCCCACAGGGCAGTCAAGAGGGCGCCCAGAGTCGGGATCCTCCCCTATTAAATTGAAATAATTAAAAAGCCTTAATATTTTCCCGCTGCTCCGGCTTTATCTCGCTGAAAAATCTCGCGGGATCGTTTCCCCCATCCTCTGCCGGCAGTCTCGCACCGCCTCCCCGTAGGCTCCGGCCCCGGGGGAGCTGAGTCCCGACGGGACGGGCAGCACCTTCCTTACCTGTTCTTAGCGGCTGCTGCCCTGTCCCTTTGCCTGCGGTTTTTGAACCAGTTGCCCACTTGCGTGGGGGTAAGTCCCGTGGCCTGAGCCAGTTCCCGCTTTTTGCTGGGGTTGGGGTAAGGGTCCTGCAGGTACCACTCCCGCAGCAAATGCCTCGTCCGCTCCTTGAAGCAATGTGTCTTCTGCTCGCCGTCCCAGATGGTGCGCGGCAGCGGGAACTTCTTCCTCACCCGGTACTTGTCCACCGGCCCCAGGGGTCGGCCCCGCAGCTTCTCCGCCTCCTGGTAGTGCGCTTCCAGCCAGAGGGCTTGCAGTTTGGCGTGGGACTCCTTGGTGAACTTGTGGTTCTCCAGGATGTGGTAGAGCTCCCGGTAGTTCCCCGTGTGGAAGGCCACGATGGCCCGGGCTCTCAGCACCGACTCGTTCTTGTTGAGCGCCTCGCAGGCCGCGGGGGCCACGGGCAGGGACCAGAGGAAGCGCCCCAGGCGCTCGATGTCCCCGCTCTCCTCCAGGGT